ACAGCGACAGACTTCACTGCTAGCCGTGGCCACTTTCACAAAAGACACAGTGAAATCCAGCCACGTAAATAAATAAACCTCTTTCATGGGGCAGATCTTCAATGATCTGAGGCATCTGCACTGATGGATCCACAAACAGAGCACGTTTCCACACACATCCTAGTTAAGCATGATATAGGTGATATTTTCTGTTTAAATTCTATCAGCATCTATATTCATAGTGTTAGTCTAAATTAGACTTTCTGCCAAATAACATTCGAAGAACGTCTGAGCTGCTGTTTCCCCAATAACGAAAGCATGAAAAAGTATAAAAAAACCTAAAATGCATGTGCATGAAGACACGTTGCACTTTTGAAAATAAAGGTTCTTTAATGGCATCTGTGATTCAGTGAAGAACCTTTAATATCCATGGTACCTTTTCACTTAAAGTGTGAACAAAATAGTTCTTGCTGCAAAACGAGTTGCATTGTTTTTCACAACCAAATGTGACACATGTTCGAATATATGCCTTTGTGAATCAGATTTGAGAGGTACGACGAAGGGTAGTATTTCCAGTGAATTACAGTTAAAACTCTGCTCTTTCTGTGGCTTCCGAAGACTTCCGAATGTGCTTCTGCATATTCTACGCCCATGGTAACTAGTCACTAAACATGTTTATTGTATAGAAAAGAGCAGCTCAGAGATTCTTCAAAACATCTTTTGCGTTCAATGGCACAAGAAATTCCTACTAGTTTGGAATAAGTTTGAGTAAACGATGACAGAATGTTCATCCTTTTCAGAGCAGCGGAACATTTTACTAAAGCAGCGAGTAAGACATCACATCGGCTCTCAAAGTATTAAGAAAAGACTGCCTAATTTTAATGCAAAGAGCGTAATGGAGTCAATACCCTGTAGCGCAGCAAAAATAAAGAATGCTGAAGACTAGGTTGTCAGTTGTCTATGTGTGTTGAGAGAGGAAAAGCGAGAGAGAGAGAGAGAGAGAGAGAGAGAACTTTTGTGTTGAGAAAAGCAGGTCATGAAAAAACAGCAGTTTTCCTCCATTCCTCTGGACAGGGTTTTAATGACTTCCAGACTGAAGGCAGCTCAGCCTCTGTTTCTCCTTTCCTCCTCTTATGGAGTGGATTCAGTCTCTGCGAACTGCTTGTACTTCAGCTCTGCTCTTACCCAACACTTCTGCAAGCCACGCCAGCTCTTTAGAGAAAGATAAATTATTTCAAAGCATGTAATTGGTTGTGACGAAGGACTACAAACATTCCTTAAGTCCTAATGCTGCCTCATGAACTGCACCATTGTTTTCCAGGGCCAGATTTCAAATAGCGAGTTAATTCTAATTACGTTGGTCCCCTTCCCCCGCTCGCCCCATGATAAACTGACGGCACACTATTTGCTTAACACATTTCTATTAGGCGGCCCTGCCAGAAAGGGTGTGAATGGAAAGATACTTCACACTCGCGTACTTCGCACGCTGAGAGTCGAAAACTTTCACCCCGACCTGAGATTAGAAGCTGTTGTTAAATTGATCTTCGCTTTCTCTCATTCAAACGAATGTAAATCTGGTACAGTTCTAGGTGACATATTTTTCAATAGTTATATGAGTGCTGCAGGGATGACATATTTAAGCCAAAACCTGGAAACCCGAGTTTGCAATGTCGCACTTCCAGCTCCATTGTCCCAAAGTCAATGTTTTTTTTTTTTTAATGGAAATTTTGGTAAATCGCCCAAAATTAGGTTTGTGATTCACACAAGCTCAAGATATGTTCACGTTTTATTCTACAACATAAAATACATCAGCAATACCGCTCTGTGATGTCTTTAACGCTTCTACTTTTCTTGAAAAAGTGTCTAAATGGTACTACAGAGCCATGTCATCATGGCAAAAGAGGTAAACTCATCTACTCACTAGCCGCTTTCACAGCCTCATGTTTATAACAGGGGTTAAAGCAAAAAAAAAATCCTGAGCCTGAACTTTTTTCCGGGGGTTGGGGGTTGCGGGGGTGGACACATACACAGGGCTATTTGGCAACAAAAAAAAAAAGAACATTATTTGAAAATGATTTTCCTTGAAACTAACTAGTAACATATCTGCCCTTGCCATTAACCCTTGACAGGATCAGACTACAGATTATGGAGGGATATTTGAAACAGCAATTAAGGTTACTCACTATAATGCAAACACATGTAACATTTAGGATGCTTTTGATATCACGTTTTGCTGGTTAGATTTGTCCTTGACAGGGTACAATTTAAAACATGAAATTTCTGAAATTGTTTTGTTCAAAAGAATTAATAGTAAATTAAATACTAGGAAATTAATATAAAATATGAAATATACAAAGACAGTTTACTACAAAAAAAACTACAGTTCAGTTCAATTAACAACAACAAAATAAAATGCTCCAAGAACTGGTAACTTAAACAGGGTTCGTACAGATACTGCAAAATGAAATTCCAGGACTTTCAAGGACTTTTCAAGCACTACTCTTTTGGTTTTCAAGGACTAAAATAAGATCTCACTTATCAAAAAATATTCTTATTGTCTTTCAAATTCTAATATATAAACTAATAAAATGAATGGAACAAATAAAGTGCAGCACATGCAAAGAACGCAATGACTGTGGCAACTTTAACATCTGAAAGGATACTATGGCAAAGTTATCGCTTTCCTTATTCAAACTGATTTTTTTTTCACGAGTATATGATTGACCTGAAGAATGAAAGCTAGGCTATATCATACACTTGGAAAATTATGAGCTATATCACTGCTAATCGACACTAGGGGTGTGACAATAAACTTCTTCTATATAAATATGGCTCTAGATGGAAATCTTTGACCATTGCGCCACGCAGCTTTTTCAGAATGTGTCGCGCTCATTAGCTGCGACTCTGCAGTTGGATACTAGCTATTACTCATGTTTATAGGACCAAAAATGTCTGATTGGCTAGTAATGTTAGTTTGGCTGAGAGTGAAAGCTGTGTTCCTCTCATACATTGGTAGGTGAACTCGTTAACTCGAACGTGATATCAACAAGTTTTTTTTAAATGTAGGAGGACTATCTTATTTTCCCGCAGCTAAACGCCACACGCCGAAAATCCAGCACGATGCCGGAGAACTTTAAGCCCTGTTATAATCGAGCCCTTCAAAACTATTCTACTCAAACTTTCAGGGAAAATGTGACCATGGTGTAGTTCATTTCTAGCCTATGTTTAGCTTTTTACTTCTGCTGACAGTATTTAGGCCTCAAAATGTTTTAATTTGTGAAGATTATCATGATGAACGGAACATGTAAGAATCATAAACTTTTGTTGGTCACAGAGCATATTTTCTGCAATTATCCAAAAGTCAATGGAAAAATCTATGGGGTTTTTGTCAATGGAACCAGGGTGATGCTGACTTACATGTTCGCTTACAAACAAAAAAAAAAAACACCATCACCTCAGCGCTCCACTGCTGACTATTCTGACCAAAAGTGCATTAACATAGGCATCATTAATGGGGAAAAAGCATGTTTCCAAAATTGAAAGCTCTTAAACAATGACACCAGACAATATTTTGTAAGCAAATAAGGGAGTGAAAGTGTTTACATGCTGTATAGCAATTGTACTTTTAAAGCATGTTTAATTTGGTAATGACACCTGAGATCGTGTTCTCCATTAACACAGCAAAATATATAATCTGGTTTTAGTGTATTATTATCTAATATATAAGGACTCAAAATACTATCAACTCAATTATATATGTTGGAAAAAGCAATGATATTCTTGTCAGACTGGGAAAAACTAGTTGGAGTGGGTACGTAGATAAATGGAAAGAGGTTGTCCATTAACTGAAGGCATTTTGATGGGTTGTTTATGACAGCGATATAAATTTGTTGTGTTGCACCAAATATAGGGAATAGGAAAACAGGTCTAGTTCTCGCAGTGTCCTCTTGATAGCGTAAACATATATCATCAAGGCCACATTAAGTCAATGTCATTGGAACTGATCAGACTAAACAAAAAGAGCGAAAGAACGTGCGTTTCAGGTCAAAGTCATCTGGGAAACAGAGTGACCACTCAAAGAAACCAAACAGTGATAGCTCCTATCAGAAACACGTAACAGCTGCACACAGCCTGTGGTGGGACATAACCACGCTCAGATTCCATTAAAATCTTCATCTCAAACCACTATATATATATATATAAATGGCTAAGAGGTCCAACAGATGCATTTATTAACGACAATATAGTTTGAGACTAGGGCTGCACGATAAATCGAAATGGAATCGAGATCGCGATTCGACAGAAGCTGCGATTGTCATGCGTATCTTTCAGTGAAGCACGGTTCTGTGATCAGCAGTAAATCTCCATTCAAAGACCAGAGGGTGCACTCGCGCTGAAACTCCAAATACGCCTCGCAGAAGATTTTTTTTTTTTTCAGGGATTCTCATAAGACAAGTCAACAAACAATTCTCTTAACTGAAAAATGATTACATGTTGGATCAAATTACCTCAAAATTCAATTTTTTTGTCATGGTATGCAGTGACTGCATGCATCAGGAAAATGTTGCAGTGCATAGAGCAGGTGCTCAAGTGCTGTGGTGGGTTTTGTTGCTTTTTAGTGTTTTTGTGGAACAAAATAAATCTAAAGGGCCTTCCAGAGCAACATCTAAAATCTAAAAACCAAATCCATCCATCCATTTTTCAAAAATCCAACACCCTGGATGGATAAGACACAGACATACATACTCACACACCTATCGACAGTCTCCAGTTTACTGTCTTTGGATCATAGAAGAAACCAAAGCACAGAGAGCAAACTCATAAGGCCTCCAGCTGGGAATCAAACCGAGGACATTTTCTAGGAAAATCTGGTGCTACAGAAAGAAATGCAGACCTGCAGTGATTACCTGTACATACTGCAACAATTATTTGCAGGCCCTGTGAGACTATCAGTGTACTCAAGGTTTAAAATGCAAATAAAACCCGAAAGCAGCTGATGGCAAAGAAACAGTGATACATACAGACATCTGGGGCCTCGTCCGATCCGTCCGGGCAGTCCTTCTCCCCGTCACACCGCCAACCTTTTGAGATACACGTCACCTGATCCCTGCAAACAAACTGCTTGGGGCTGCAGGTTTTTGGAGCTACAAAAAAGAAGAGGCAAAACAAAGAATGAGTGCATTCAGCTATTAGCACCTCAAACAAAAGCATATTTTATCAGAAATCAAACAGCCCATAAGAATGTTTGTGGTCTGGCCAGGGTTTGGCAGTGTACGAGGACGCCAAGTACTGTTAGTTTACCGCTAGTTGCTGATGTGTGTTTCAGAACAAGATAATCTGCCCGCTACTGTTTTTCCCCCAGCCTGACCGTTTCCCTTACAAGGCCGATGTCTGACTTCTATTCTGGTCAATACGGTTCAAAATAAGCAACAAACTCTACTCTACTCTTAACAAAAGTCAATCAAATGTATCAACCATTTATCAATTCATTAATAGAATGAATCCCAGTGTGATTTCAGAATTCGACATTACCGTATAGGTAAATGACTTTTCTAGTCTGTGACTAGACTGTTTTCTCTCTTTGAATATATTGTTGTTGTTTTTGTTTTTTTCTCAGATTTAAATGAAATATGTGACCCTGGAGCACAAAAGCAGTCTTAAGTCGCTGGGGTATATTTGTAGCAATAGCCAAAAATACATTGTATGGGTCAAAATTACAGATTTTTCTTTTATGCCAAAAATCATTAGAATATTAAGTAAAGATCATGTTCCATGAAGATATTTTGTAAATTTCCTACCGTAAATATATAAAAACTTAATTTTTGATTAGTAATATGCATTGCTAAGAACTTCATTTGGACAACTTTAAAGTCGATTTTCTCAATATTATGATTTTTTTGCACCCTCAGATTCCAGATTTTCATATAGTTGTATCTCGGCCAAATATTGTCATATCCTAACAAACCATACATCAATGGAAAGCTATTTATTCAGCTTTGAGATGGTGTATAAATCTCAATATCAAAAAATTGACCCTTATGACTGGTTTTGTGGTCCAGGGTCACATATGTCAAACACTGACATTATACTGTAAAGAATTATTCATCTCAGAGTTGGTTGGTCTGGTTCAAGGTTTAGTACACTTTATTGAAGAAATGTCTGAAATGCCTAATGGAGAAAACGAATGGAAAAAGAGTATTTCCAGAAGCCAAGCCACTGGAAAAGGAGGCAGTCTGTGTCGAGCAGTTTCCCGCTCTTCTCCTGACTGTACGCGTTTGCAGTCAGACCCACGCGCTTCCACACATCCAGGTCAGTGTTCCCACACCAGTGCCAGTGATGCAACGAGTCTACAGGCCATCAAAGGACATCTTGTTCTGGTTTGGCTGCATAAGGAGCAAAAAATGTGACTGCTTTTCACTGGTCGTCTATTTGGAATCAAGTGCGAATTCATTCCAGACCACCTTCTCAAAAGCTCTCTAAAAACCTCCCGTCTGCTATCGGCACCGTACCTCCAGACATAAACAGTAAGGAAAGCAGAGCTGACTATCGACTGCTACTTCCTCCACAACACTGAGCTTCCCATCTGCAGGAAGAGAGGTGGAAGCTCAAAAGATGTGCAGAGAGATCCTTTTCTACATTATACATTGCATTGTCAAAGTATTTTTTAAAGCTGTAAATAAAACAAAGATTATTGGACACGCAGGTTTTTGGAGCTACAAAAAAGAAGAGGCAAAACAAAGAATGAGTGCATTCAGCTATTAGCACCTCAAACAAAAGCATATTTTATCAGAAATCAAACAGCCCATAAGAATGTTTGTGGTCTGGCCAGGGTTTGGCAGTGTACGAGGACGCCAAGTACTGTTAGTTTACCGCTAGTTGCTGATGTGTGTTTCAGAACAAGATAATCTGCCCGCTACTGTTTTTCCCCCAGCCTGACCGTTTCCCTTACAAGGCCGATGTCTGACTTCTATTCTGGTCAATACGGTTCAAAATAAGCAACAAACTCTACTCTACTCTTAACAAAAGTCAATCAAATGTATCAACCATTTATCAATTCATTAATAGAATGAATCCCAGTGTGATTTCAGAATTCGACATTACCGTATAGGTAAATGACTTTTCTAGTCTGTGACTAGACTGTTTTCTCTCTTTGAATATATTGTTGTTGTTTTTGTTTTTTTCTCAGATTTAAATGAAATATGTGACCCTGGAGCACAAAAGCAGTCTTAAGTCGCTGGGGTATATTTGTAGCAATAGCCAAAAATACATTGTATGGGTCAAAATTACAGATTTTTCTTTTATGCCAAAAATCATTAGAATATTAAGTAAAGATCATGTTCCATGAAGATATTTTGTAAATTTCCTACCGTAAATATATAAAAACTTAATTTTTGATTAGTAATATGCATTGCTAAGAACTTCATTTGGACAACTTTAAAGTCGATTTTCTCAATATTATGATTTTTTTGCACCCTCAGATTCCAGATTTTCATATAGTTGTATCTCGGCCAAATATTGTCATATCCTAACAAACCATACATCAATGGAAAGCTATTTATTCAGCTTTGAGATGTTGTATAAATCTCAATATCAAAAAATTGACCCTTATGACTGGTTTTGTGGTCCAGGGTCACATATGTCAAACACTGACATTATACTGTAAAGAATTATTCATCTCAGAGTTGGTTGGTCTGGTTCAAGGTTTAGTACACTTTATTGAAGAAATGTCTGAAATGCCTAATGGAGAAAACGAATGGAAAAAGAGTATTTCCAGAAGCCAAGCCACTGGAAAAGGAGGCAGTCTGTGTCGAGCAGTTTCCCGCTCTTCTCCTGACTGTACGCGTTTGCAGTCAGACCCACGCGCTTCCACACATCCAGGTCAGTGTTCCCACACCAGTGCCAGTGATGCAACGAGTCTACAGGCCATCAAAGGACATCTTGTTCTGGTTTGGCTGCATAAGGAGCAAAAAATGTGACTGCTTTTCACTGGTCGTCTATTTGGAATCAAGTGCGAATTCATTCCAGACCACCTTCTCAAAAGCTCTCTAAAAACCTCCCGTCTGCTATCGGCACCGTACCTCCAGACATAAACAGTAAGGAAAGCAGAGCTGACTATCGACTGCTACTTCCTCCACAACACTGAGCTTCCCATCTGCAGGAAGAGAGGTGGAAGCTCAAAAGATGTGCAGAGAGATCCTTTTCTACATTATACATTGCATTGTCAAAGTATTTTTTAAAGCTGTAAATAAAACAAAGATTATTGGACACAAGAAAATACTATTTCAGTCTTTCTGCTTCAAAATTTCACGTTCATTTCAATGTGTTCCTTGCCATAAGCAATTTTCACTCAGAAATTGCTCGTAAATTTCACACACAATTACAAGGAACGGCAAAATGAAATGTGAATTTTGAAGTAGAAAAACATAAACAGTATACTTCAGTAATCTTTATTTCATAAATCTCTGAAAAAAACATTTTAACACTGGTGAATGTTTACGTCAAGGGTTCTAATGAATGATATTACATAAAATGTATAATACGCTGACAAAAAAAAAATGCAACAACTTACAGTACATTCTGAAATGTTTCAAAAATGTAAGTGGCGGGAAATTAAAATGAACCCACACAATTTTAAACACTGAAAGTTCCCAGAAGTCTGTTTCTCTTTAAGGTGACCACGCACACAGTGTTTATTTATTTTTTATACCGTATATATTTTTCTTAAACAAGCCTGACCATTGGTTATTTCAGAGCATTCCAGGACTGCGAAGACATGAAGGGCGTCTTTATGAGGCTTTCTGACAGTGAGGAAAAAGTGCAGACATTGTACACTACCGCAAAACTACGGTAGACGACTGTTGTGATCAAGACTTATTATTCAGAGTTCTGACTCAGCTGAGAATTCTCGACTCTTTTAATGCCATCTATGGATTTTCTGTTCTTCTGGTTCATTTTACCTCAGTGACTCTAACATTCTTTACACATGCTAACTGCGATACTTGGCTCCTCACACTGAGCTGAGAGAAGTGTGCATACGCAGTGCTAAAGTGAAGTGCAGCTGTAACGGCAGTGGAGTAAATGAGAGCATGAGAGAATGAGAGAATAATTATTATTATTATTTGCTGTATGCATACTTTTTTTTTTCTAATATAGGGATGACATGTCTGGGGCTTCAAGTCTTCAGTATTCTGAGGTTAAAGAAACAATAGCAAGTTAATATGGTAGAACTCAAGCAAAGAGTAGATGGAAATATAACAGAGCTCTAACTGCCGCGCAATATAAAGATTGAATTAAGCTAAGCGATCCCATTAACTATAATCACAAACATTCATCATAGAAAAAAAAAAGATTTTTTCTTAAAGATGAGCAATGATTGGCTCGTCTGGAGTCTGTAAAGTAGGTGAACAGTGAATAATACTGTGAGTAATAGGCTGTAGTTTGCAGACGGTATGCGACTGTAATTACATTACGAATATAGAAAATTGGATCAGAGCAAAGGAAAAGAACAATGAAGAGAAGATAAAGAAGGTAAGAAGGGAACAAATGGAGCACGGCACAGGAGAATGTCACACATGCTATCAATCAGGGCTGTGATTGTCTTTTAAATATTGCTTAATTCCTGATTTTAAACTGAGGTAGCAATCAGGATGCAGAATCGCAATTCAAATGATATAAAGAATTAAAGAGTCCTGCAATTCAAAGATATTCACTTAACTGCTATGTGTGTAATTTTAATTAGAAAAAAGTGCAACTTTAATGCATGTTTCCAGTCTTACAGGATATGAGGCTTCATAATCTCTAATCAAAACACCTATATAATCTACAAAAAATATTAAAACTGCTGTTTTACTTAAATTAGTGTGTTTCTTCGTTTTATTCGTTGTTTTTTGGTGTAGTGTAAATGCACATGTACACAAAAGTTTGATTCTGCAATTCGCTATATTATTAGACAAGATTTTGCTCTAATGAACATCTAAAAAAAGTTGGGTTACACTTTATTTTAAGGTGTCCTTGTTACAGTGTAATTATACATTTAAGTACTGAGTAATATTAATTAGCTACATTTACTTGCTATATGATTAGGGTTACGTGCATGTACAGTAATTATGCATCATTTGTTGTTATTATAATAGTAAGCACATGT